TTTATTTATTTATTTATTTATTTATTTATATCCCGTCCATCAAGACTGAAGTCTACTCTGGGTGGCTAACAACACTCTAAGAATAATAAAATAAAATAAACAACAAAATTTAAACCATAAGGATAACAATAAATTACGTGTTGACAGGAGGGAAGGCCTGCCTAAAGAGCCAGGTCTTGAGCAGCCTCTTAAAAACACCCAGCGAGGGAGCCAGACAAATTTCTAGTGGGTGATTGTTCCAGAGGCGAGGGGCCACTGCCGAGAACGCCTGCTTTCTTTTTTTTCTCTCTCTTTGGGCCTTCCTTGGCATTAGGCCCCTCAGCCACCCTTCTTGACTAAAGCAAGTGATTCGGGGAGATCTAGGAGGGAGGAGGCATTCCACCAGATATTGAGGTCCTAAACCATTTAGGGCTTTATATGTCATCATTGACACTTTGAAATTAATGCGGAAATGAATGGGCAGCCAATGCAAGGTAGCCAGAGTGGGGGAAATATGTTGATGTTTTCTCACCCCAGTAAGAAGTCTGGCCCCCGCATTCTGCACCATTTGAAGTTTCTGCATCAATCTCAAAGGTAGCCCCATGTAGAGCACGTTACAGTAGTCTAATCTCGAGACTACAAGTGCATGGACCAGAGTGGTGAGTGCCCCAAGGCACTCACCACTCTGGTCCTTTAAAAAGACCCAAGGCAGCTTACAATTAAAATATACTATGTTAGTAAAAATGAGTATACAATACTAAAAATGATCAATGAATATAATACCAAAAATGTAAGCAACACCAAAACACATTCAATACAGTAAGGTACAACAATCCATTTTAAAAACCCCATTTGGCAGCCATTCATTCAGGGAAAGGTCTTTGTCTGCTTTCAGAAGGATAATAAAAATGAGGGCAGTCTAGCTTCCTGCAGGAGGTGCCTCTCCTTAGTTCATTCTCTCCACTGGCTTCATTAAATAAATAGATTTATCAGTCACCTGATTGTCTATGAAGACAGGTCAAGGAAACCTGGTTCTCTCAGTTTGGCTGCAGTGCCTAAATCTCCATGTCCATCTCTGAGTGTTTAAAATCTGTATTAATAATTGAATAATAATACATGAAATGTTCCAAACACTTTAAAAGTGCTACATGAATGCTGAGAATTAACTATTATATTATTTAATATCTACATAATGGACAGATATTCTTCATGTGCAACATTTTCCAGCAACCAGAAACAATGACACAGGAAAAACTGAAATTGTTTTAAGAAACGAATGTTCTGCCAGGCCTATACACATCCATTTCTCTCTTCAAAAAAACTTTCATTCAGAAAAGCAGTAGAGTGTTAGTAAGAGACTGGTCCAGAATTAGGTATCTCTTTAGAATGTTTTAAAAGCAATATTACAAGAACTGCATTACTGCTGGCTTTTGAACAAAAACAGTAATGCTGGCACAAAGTTGTTTCTGCTTGTCCCGTTTTCTGCATTCCTGCTTTAGTTTTCATGTTGGAATGTTTACTACACTTTGGTGCCTTACAGTTTATCTTGTGCTTGTCTTTGCAGATCTGTACAACCTTGTGTCTTGTCTTTACTTGTGGGCCATGAAAGTGGATGTACAATGTTTGTTTGTTTGCTCTGTCCTGAATGGACTATTGCAACTGTACTTTCTTTTACTGCAATTTTCTCATATGCTTTTGATAATAATTATTCCTTTCAGCTGCTTTACTTTGTAACTTAATTTTTCAGGTTTGTTTGAAATTAGTAAGTTTTTTACAATTCCTCACCAAGCATGTCCAGTTCAGCTTTAAAAAAAAAAAAAGGGGGGGAGAAAAATAGAAATGAAACTGGTGTAAAATACAAATGTTTAATGATAAAAAAAGTAGCAGTAGTTCTGAATCTTTGTATAATTTAATTTTAGAAAACTTCTTTTAAAAATTGCTGATTTGTTCAATCAGTTTGAATTACTGGTTCTTCTCTAAGAAAACTTATGCTATTCAAGCATTTTGGGTGAGAGTTATCCCTATGGAGTTGTGCATATGATGGCTTAAGCCTGCACTTCCCTGAGAGTACATCCCACTAGGTAAAAAAATTACCTTTGAGTAAATATACATATGATAAAGTTACTTAGTTGCCATGCTGTGCGTGTTTCAAATTATGGGGACTTCCTATCATGTATTCATGCAGAAAGTCTGTTAAGTAGAATTTCATCTTTTCAGACCTTTTATCTGAAATCTCTAGCAAATTCTTGTACTTTTTTATTTGGCACAATGGTGTGTAAGTAATATTTCTATTTAAATAGCATCTGTTTTATTGGGACATTTTGCTCCTTGCTAGAAAATTCAGATGAGAGGCTGTACTGTAGCGATGCTGTCCAAATGGTATTCATCTGTTATTTTATTCTTTAGAATAGCGTGTGCAATTAATAATAATAAGTAATCAGTGCGATTTGGCTGCAGCTATAGTGAGCTTTAAAAAAAAAACGCCCACAAAAACTAGTTTCTGTTTGATTTTGGAATCCTTCTGATTTTTAGACTGGAGACTGGGGCGAACCATCAATTACTTTACGACCTCCTAATGAAGCGACAGCATCAACACCAGTACAATACTGGCAGCATCATCCAGAGAAACTCATCTTCCAGTCATGTGATTACAAAGCATTTGTAAGTTTGCCAGCTTCAGTTTCCTTTGTGAATAGCCAAAAATTTCCCAATTTAGGACATCATGTTTTATCATCTCTTTCTCTGCCTAACATAACTGTAATCGTGATGAAGTCCTTTTTCTAGAACCATAATGATTTCAATAGCAAGTTATGAAATGCAGAAAGAAGAGTTACAAGTCTGACCTCAATAGTAAGAAACATCAGCAGTCTCAAGCATAGCCAGAAAGGAGCCATTGGAAGGACCATTAAGAACCATGTAAAATCTCAGGTCCTTCAGTCAATTCTCAACCTGCTGGCGGTTCCAATCTGGCCATGCCTCCTTCCACCTATTACCATAATATGTTGGTTTCCAAGTTTTTGTATAGATTCTACCAACTCCCCATTTTTTAATGGATGAAATGTCTCTCCTGAGCTTTAGTTTAGTTACCTCCAGTAATACCTTTAAAGCTAAAATTTCTTCTGTCCCATTCTTTTAACTTTTGACCCCAGCAGTGGCCTGAATTTGGCCCTTGGGCCAGAAGGAGTCTCTACTTTAATGTAGCACCCTGCTCTCTTTACAAAATAGCAAAGCAGAAACATCTGGGAAGTTTATGAGGAAGAAAAGAAGAGGGCAAGAGCTTTTTCCTTTCTTGTCCCCTGTAGGTACTGAGCAATACACTGCCTCATTTGGATAGAACTATCCTGCCTGAATTTGTGCAAGTCCTTTAAAACTCTATCTGAGCCACTGGTCATTGCTATATTTTTTGTGATCAACTACTGAGGCAATTGCCACATTGACTTTCTGTTATTAGTCAGAATGACTAATTTTGTCACTATGTATGGGAACACTTCCTTTTATCTTTCCTCTTGCCGATCATGACACGAAGCAAAGAATATTATTCCTGTTTTATGAATGATGTTGTTTTAAATGATCAGACCTATATTTTCCTAAAGCATTAAAAGTCTGTCAAATCAAGCATGTATTTAACAGTACAGAATTAGGCCACCATAGGTACTATTAAAAACTTATTCAGATCTTAGACCACATACCTCAATGAGAATCCTTACGTCTTTAAACAGTCCTACAATGTTGGGTTCAGTCTATCAACATTTTGTACATATTTATTGTTATAATTCCGTCAAGTCAGTGTTTTCTTGAAACACAGAACAATGAGCTAAAGGTCATCATGGCTTCCATTTAACACATTTATTTTACCTAATAAAAATGTGCCATGTACATCTTGCAGGTCATCTAACTATATAATAATGTGCCAGTTTTGTACAAACATGGCTGTGCCTTTTTAAAACAGTAAATCATCTATCTTTCTTTTTCATTCATTTTTCTCAAGATGGCAATTACAGTTGTTTCTCTTTGAAATGACAATTGCGATGTTTGCTGTTACACATACTAAATTAACATGACACTTTCCATTTGAAAACCTAATAATATATAATATTTATGTGGAAGGGATAAGAAATGTAGAATCTCCTAGGTCAGAGACCTTTAATTGTCCTTTTAGATGTGTTTATTCTGTAACAAAGAGCAAATTGCTTGTTTGTCATTTAAGTATTTAGGTTCCATGCTGGTAAAAGAGCTAAGAGGTACAGAATCGACGCAGGATGCTTGTGCAAAAATGAGGGTGAGTGAAACAAATATCCTCCATATGAATATAAGTGGTGAAATTGTCATTTTCAATTGTATTATATTTTAAATTCCTCCTGGTTTTTTTTGCATTCAATCAGGAGTGAGCAGAAGGTAAATTAGGCTCTACTTGTAGACCTCTACATTATTTATAGTATATCAGCCACAGATCACAGACATATAAGATAACCTGTTGATGTTGTGCTAATGAAGAGCTTCGTGGCACAGTGGTTAAACTGTTGTAGTACAACCAAAACTGTGCTCGCAACCTGGAGTTCTTTCTCAGGTAGCCGGCTCAAGGTTGACTCAGCCTTCTATCTTTCTGAGGTCAGTAAAATGAGTACCCAGCTTGCAGAGCTGTGTGTGTAGCCTTCATAATTAACTTGTAAACTGTCCAGAGAGTGCTTTAAGTGCTATGGGGCAGTATATAGGCAGCACACTGCTTTTCCTTAATTTAAATCCCTTTTAATATTACCTACTCAGTTTCCATGACAAAATGGCACAAACAAATAGTACTATAAAATGTGTCCTGTACTTCCTGAGTGTTGAGAAGTCCAGTGGCATCAGGTAAAATATTTCACGTAGGTAAGAGCAGCAGTAACCAACAGGACAGTACAACAAATTAAACCTCCAGTAGCTGCTGTATGACAACAGAAAGGAGGAGAATTTCCATCTTTGCTCTTATGGTGCTGGAAATCCTGTATCCCACAGGCAGTGCTTCTTGAGTGGTGACTGTAGTTCTGTCAGTGCTGGCTGCTCTTAGTTAGCAAAAGCCATAGATGGATGGATGTCTAAGCCTACCGACAGTATCTGTCAGTTTTACAAAGATTCATCTTAGCCCTGTTCTGTTCCATCACTCCTCGTCAATCTGTTTTAGCATCCACATTTTAAAGTAGTCTTTTCACAAAATTTGCATTTTATCCTAAGGCATGCATTGAAATCTATGGTAGTTATGGTAGTTTTTTTTAAAAAAATAAACACGTAAGAACTGTATCTTAAAATTTGAAGAAGTTCAAAAAATCCCTAAAAGATAACTGTGTTCCATTTTGGAGGTGCAAATAAAGCTGACCTGATTTGAAAAATGCAGACCCAACAAAACCATCAAGAATCTTTAGAAAGCACAACTGTTCAATTCACTGTCTACGGCACCCTTGCCCGTAGCGCCTAGCACCAAAAAAATGAAAGTGGGAATGCACTGGTTGCCATGCATTGGCTGAAATCCTTTTGTGCAGTTACATAAGGAGCGTAACATTTGGAAATATTTATTTATTTCAGATATTTTTACCCCTACTTTCTCCTTAAAAAGGACCCTAGGCAGCTTACATCAGTAATAGACACTATTGAAAGCTAAAAAATGAGTATACAAAGGTGGATTTCATTATTTAAAGCTAAAAATATAAAATATATTGTTTTATATAAAATTAAAACAATAAGCTTACAAATATTAAAAAGAATCAAACAAATAACACTCAAAGATCTATACTTTATTTTGCAACAAGGGTCAGACTCTCTCAAAGTGCCACTAAGTGGGATGTAACCTCACCCAGTCTGAATTGGTGCATCCAGTCTGTTTGACTATCCTTGCACTAAAGAACTACACATTTTATGCTACAGAGCAGTGTTCTCCAACCTTTTTGACACTGTGGACTCCTTGGGGAGGACGGCGTCCACATGCAGGTGGGCGGGGCACCCCCTCGCACACATGCGTGAAGGGGCAGGGCTTGCTTTTGCGTGCATTCATGTGCATGTGCGAAGGGCGGGGTGCTCATGCAGCGCATGCACATTTGTGTGCATGCGTGAAGGGGCGGGGGAGCTTGTGTGGCTCGGGTCAGCGTACAGGGGAAGTGTGTGCGGGAGGATGGAAGATCTTTCTCTGCACCCCAGTCTGGCCAAGGCTGCGGACCGGGGGTAGGAGACCCGATATAGAGTGTATCCTGTAGCTCAGAGGCCCCCAATCTCTGGTCCGCGACCCGCACCACATCCACATGAGCATGCCACACCCCCCAACCGGTCCGTCGTTGGGAAGCACTGCTGTAGCTCAGGTCTATGGATAGAAATGTCTTTCCTGGATGATGGCAGAACTTTCTACCAACAGACCTTTGATCAGTTGTCGACTCTTAGCATACACAATAATAAAGTTGCCTGCAACTATGAGCAATTTATTGTTGCATATTCTTAAAATGCATATCAATTTTTAATGAATTTATATCCCATCGTCTAAGTTATTCAGTTGTCCAGAGAATATAAAATATAATCCATCAGTTCCTGGGTTTACTGAGTGTACACAAAAGGGGAGTGAGACTATTCTTCCTCCTTTGCTAGTGTGCAGCTGTATGCATCATGCTGGAGACATTTGTGCATCTAACCTAATTACATCTAGCTCCTTAGAGCCCCAGTGTATAGGTTGGTTGTATATGGGAGCTGTCTGTTTAGAATTACTGTGATGAGACTTTTGAAGACAAGATATGGTCATTGTAAAAGACATCAGGTTTTAACTACATAACAATTAAGAATTTTTTTAAAAACTAACACTATTAGTATAACTGAGTATAATTAGTACAATCTGGTTAGTCAGTATCAAAAATTGTTTTATTCTCTTCTTACTATAGGAAGAAAAGCTTTTCTCCATATCCTTTGCACTGTTTCCATAATTTCACTTATTCTGAGAAATGGGATATTCTGATGTATAATGTGGATCAGCCTTTATTTCCTATTTCCATATAGACACAGGTAGAACATTACTAGGTTGGGGAAAAAAATTATAGACCAACATTCATCATTTTTCTTATTTGTTTTTCATTTCAGAAGTCAACAGAACAAATGAAGAAGGTCCCTACCATTGTTTTATCAGTCTCTTATAAGGGAGTAAAGTTTATTGATGCAACAAATAAGGTATGTTTGACTCGATTACTCGGATATTTATAACAAAGCTGCTCCATATTCATAGGCATCCTTTCCTGTGCTGTTCATTGAGTGTTTCAATTCTATATATTTCCAGGCTTTCCAAGACATATTTCTTACAAATGATAATACTTTTTTTCTGTTGTAAGTTCCATCCTTTCTAGCAGCAGAATTACCTCCATTCATATGAAATGTTCTCCTTCACATGAGGTAGTTGCAGAACACCAAGAAATGGCAGGACATTTACAGAGTTTTCTTAGCATTTCTGGGACCCTGAGAACTACTTAAATGTGAATAATGGAAGATGCCTTAGATAACAAGGAAGGAGCTCACATTCTCGCTCTTTCAGTGTTAGCATTGATCCATCAAAGACCAGGTCAGCTTCTACAGGAGGAGTAGCCAATGTTAGTTGTTTCTGCTTGTTATCCGATTTCACATTACTTAGCAGAAAATAAGGGAGTGACAACAAAATTTTCTCTGTGCATGACACACCTTTGTAACAGGCCCTCTTTCCATTCTGGCTCTATAAATGCTTGCCTATTGAAGCACTGTTGTCCTTTAGCTTGTATTTCTGGCTACCTGATTTCTGCAGTTCTCTTTCAGTGTTGCTCTCTGTCTTTACATTCCACCTATTCTCAGAACCACGTAGTCAGCAGAATCCTATAGGAATTATCATAAGAATTCTCATAATTCTCATATTACCATAGGTAATGAACTGCCCTCTTTTGGTCATGTGCCAGATTGCACACCTCAGAGGTGGTCTGGCACCCTGTACGTTAACTGCAGGTAGCTGTGGTAAATTACAAACCTTCCAGCCCATTCTTTGGATGTACTCAGAAGAAAGCCACTGGTAATGGTGCGGCTAAAAAATACTGTAAATAAATAAAATAAATAAAGCCAGAGGCTCAACTAATTTACTTTCATATGTTCTAGAGCCTGAATCAGCAGTAGTGGTTCCTAATTTCTCTTTGCTTTTAATGTCTCTGATTATTAAAGTGGTTGTTCCTTGCTCCTGCAGCCAAACCCTTTTGGCATCTACTGGCTACACACAGGAAAGGGGTATGGCAACTGTTGCATAAGGGAATGTGCCATGTGGGCCCATTGAATCAATGGAACTTATACATAAGAATTGATTCGCCAAATCCCCACTGATTCAGTGGGCCTTCTCTAGTTGTGATTTACTACTGGACTTTAGTCTATAGGTACCAAAATCCATTGCCCCAACTATTTCTAGGTGAGTTCAGTTATCAGTGAGCCTTCTCTAGTTGTGATTTACTACTGGTCTATAGGTGACCAAAATCCATTACCCCAACTATTTCTAGGTGAGTTCAGTTCTGGTTTGGTACCAACCTGAATGAGTAAAGGATGCATTTGGAATTCTCTTAACTACTGTCAGTAAAGCATAATAGCAAAATCTGAAATACATAGGCTAAACTTTCTTAGCAACAGGAAACCTTTAAAATTTTAGGATTATAATAGATTAAAGGAAGACAGAATATTTTTAATCAAAGATTTCTATTTCAATCAAAGATTTCTATTCTTAATAGTCTAAGAAAATGGGTGCAATCTAAGTACAGGGTTTTTTATCCAGCTGTAAACATGCTCATCGCCTGACACGTTTTGTCTTTCTGAAAGTTATGAAGTTATCTTATTCCAAAACCAGAGCAATCATGTCTTTTTAATGTAAAAAGATACTATGGTGTTATAATCATCTCCTACATAAGTTCGTTGTCCATTTAGTTAAGCTCATATTCTACGACTTTCTATTGTTTCAAAGTAGTTGGACATAAGTAAAAATACCTATTTTTCTTTTAGATAACAAGCTCTGAACTGTACATTAATTTAGGAGTCTGAAATCAAAGTTGACTACCCTCCAACTATAGGATGAGTAAACCAAGTTAATGAATGCTGTTCCTTACAATTTACAGTTGGCCACTGGTTATTGGCTATTAGTCCTTAAGTAAAACAGAGCACATTTTTGACCTTGAATGATGGATTGACCATTCAAAAACCTTCTGGGAAACTTCTGATCTTGATTATTAAATTTATAGCCCTTTGACCAATGTGATAAGGTTTTATCTTCCAACAGGCTTTAATGTAAACTGGCCCATTCCTTTCATGTGCATTAGACAGAAGTTATTGTAATATATTTGTGTATGTGCCTTTTCTTAAGAAAGTAGTTGTGTGATCCTCCAGACAATTTTAAACAGTAACATCTATAAACCCTAACCATTGACTATGCTAGCTTTAAGGCTGATAGAAGTTGTAGGCCAAAAAAACATCTGGAGACCTTGGTTACCTATCTCTGACTTAATAGGTTGATTTTTCTTTTTCACATCTCCAAATAATTATCTCTTAATAAGCATTTTAAGATGCTCTTCATTTGGCATTTTGTAATAAAACATCTTATTCTTATACTGCTTTGAGAGAGCTCACCTAGCAGTTTCTCAGTAGTATCCTTAACAATTACAATAAAATTAAATCTACTTTCTATGCCACCCAGAGTAGACCTTTGGTCAGGATGGTGGGGGTATAAATCTAATAAAATAAATTAAATAAAATCAATTAAAATATGTGGCAACATATATCTCTTTCTATCAAATAATTCATGGCCCAGTAGCTTAATGTAAGGAATGGAACTTTGTTGTGTTCTCACACTGATCTCATTACCACCACCCCCCTCTCTTCCAACTGTTTAGGGCTGTGGTTGTTCTGTGGCTGCTAGAGTAACACAAGCACTAATATTTTCAATGGTAAGAGAATGAGCACCTAGTATCACTTCTTCCACTGATGTCACAAACATCATATTCTTGTAACATTAGCACAGTCATGATCCATACAATGCAAACGGCTATAGCAACTGCAGGTCTAGCACTGGGTACGTCACTTCTCATGAAAAGCTGGATGAAAAGTTGATTTAAAAATTTGTATCTCCTGCAAAAAATGAATAACAACTTGCATTCTACTAACATAAACTAATTGCACTGAGATTTAATATTACATCTCATTGGATCAACACTGGCCAGTCGCTTAATTGCTTTTATTGAAATAACTTGTAAATTTGATGGAATTTTGTGACATGTTTATCAGAATTGGAAATGACATTGATTTTTTCTTGCTTTTTAAAAAATAAAATAAGAGTTAACTATTAAGCTATTTGACCTAGTTCCAAGATCTGAACTGAAGCCTTTACAGTTTCCCTTGAGAATTGCCACTTTCATACAGGGAACTAGAAATACCGTAAATTAATAACAAAAGTGTGCCACAGTCCCTTGAGAGATCTCAAATTCTAGCAGACCTTTTTGTGAACCAGAGCTCACTTTAAAATATACATTAAAACTATGTAGTCAAATGAGTTTTAAATCCAGCTTCTAGTTTTATGCAAGTATTCTTTCTAGTTCTAATGCCTTCTGAGAATTAGAGAAGTGTAATTCTGAAAATCTCATTTGTTCATTAACAGCACTGTTAACATAGTCTATCCCCTTCGGCAATACTTTTACTTTTATTTATAGGAAACTGGATGCCTCCATTTTAGTATCACTGTTGATGTGATAGCAATCTGTTTTTTTTTTATTCAGCAGTTCTGAGAATAAGAACAAAGCTATTAAAATGGAGAAATAGTATCGGGTTTTGCCCAAAGTAGCATAAAATTGAATGGATATTAAACATTACTGAGTTTAAAGATCTTTACAAATTAGTGCTTATTAAGGCATAATCATTAATTTGATTGTGGTTCTCTGAAGAGAATGCTTTATGCAGAAATAATAGCTTAAAAAATGTTCCAACCATTTGAGATAAAAGGATTTAATTGTGGGATGTTGTTTTTACTATTTTTCCTGTAAAACAAGTCCATGGATTCAAATTGTGACAGCCTGCACTATTCGTTGTTAAAATAGATGGCTAAAATAATGTTTCAATGAGTTTTCTTGAGTATTTATATCTGTCAAGAAAGTCCCTCAGAATTGATTTATCATTGGAAACAGATTAAACATAGTACAGGGATGGCTGAACATACATAGACGACCATCCTGATTCCAAAAATAAGCTTTAATTATCTGATTAAGAACCACTTTAGCTAAAATCATATATGTTTCAATCCTGCAGGGCCAGTTATGGATTATAGTAATGTACAGCATTCTTTCTGCTGTTACTTTCTTAGCCTAAACAAAACAGGGTATTCATGGCTGTTACTTGAAATAATGTTTATGAAAGATGAAGGTATTGGAAGTATACATCCTTTCTTTTTAGGTTTATGTCTTTCCTTTCCAGTTATACTAATCTAAACAGCGTCTTACAACTCATTTAATTTCTCCATATGCTTGTTGCCAGAAAGTTTTTGCACTTTAAACTGAGATGAGTTCTCATGTTTCTTCCTATATTAATAATCCTTATTCTTAATTAGAGAACCTCAGAAAGTACCTATTGGTGTCACTCACTCTTCTAGCAGGATAGATCTTTCACAAGGAATTGGGAAAAGGTTTCCTCTTTCTATGTAAAGGGGGAAAATGCTCATTTATTGAAATGTAAATGTTATTGGTTATTTGTTTCAAATATTTATCCAATGTATTTATTTTAAATATTAAATAAAAGCAAAAACAAATTTTCAGCAGGAATAAATACAAGACACCTTTGTTCTTTATAGTGCTCATGATCCACAGTGATCCCCACATCCTATTCCATCTGCAGAACTGTCAGGATTGTGGAGAGTTACCAGTTCATGCGCAAACATGGAAAAACTACTCTCATTAATCTTTAGTAATCGCCATTATCAGATACAGTAAGATTGTATGGCAGCAATCAAAGGAGAGCTTTCAGTTCTGGCTTTTTAGTAGATGGCATCCTGGAAGCCAGCGTGGCATCAGCCACCTCTGAGGAATAGCCATGCTTTGCTGGCAGTCTATGCTCAGACTCCAAGCAGACAGCTTGAGGAACCTGGATTCTTGTGTTATATTGAGGTTCCAATCCTAAATTGTGGTTCCAATCCTAAATTTACACACTTGTGTTATATTGTGGTTCCAATCCTAAATTTACACACTTGGGAGTACAATGATTGACTGGACTTTGAAATGTACCATTTTCTACTTACAGCTGAATTTAAGTGCAGAAACTAATCCTTAAATATTTGGCTAGTATGTTACCGATTGGACTGATATTAATAAGGTTTGCATTGGTAACCCAGTCTATAATTACTATGGAATACTCTAGTATTTCTCTCTTGTCCAAAATGATTGTGGTTCCAATCCTAAATTTACACACTTGGGAGTACAATGATTGACTGGACTTTGAAATGTACCATTTTCTACTTACAGCTGAATTTAAGTGCAGAAACTAATCCTTAAATATTTGGCTAGTATGTTACCGATTGGACTGATATTAATAAGGTTTGCATTGGTAACCCAGTCTATAATTACTATGAAATACTGTAGTATTTCTCTCTCGTTGTCCAAAATGTCTATTACATTGTAGGTAAATAACTGTTTATTGGGCTGTTTCTATACATATGTTAACATTAAAATTTATTTTTTCCCTTGCATTTAGAATATTATTGCTGAACATGAGATTCGTAACATTTCCTGTGCTGCACAAGACCCTGAAGACCTCTCTACCTTTGCTTACATCACAAAAGACTTGAAGACAAATCACCATTACTGCCATGTGTTCACAGCCTTTGATGTGGTCAGTCTATAAAGAATTTTGCTATGTGATTTCTTTTTTTCTTTGCCGTTGGGTGATGTGGACGATATTTGGAGTAGGAAAGTTAATCAGAGTTAAGGCATTATATTTGCTAGTGCAATTTCATCTATGATTAATGTTCCTCAGGACTGACTTGGGCATCTGCCTAGATGGTTCTAACTTACTAATTATTCCAATATGTGAAATTGCTATAAACAAACTTATTTTCCCTCTGACTTAAAAATGAGTTTGGATTTAAGATGTCATTTTGGATCTGGTCCTCGTATTTCATTACCAGTGAGAACTCAATCAGATGGGCTTGTGTTGGTACAATACTGAAGACAAATACCATCCTGACTAGTAGGACTTCTAAAATATGTCTGTTTCACTGAAACAAATAATTCAGTAGTATTCCTAAATAGGCAATTAAGAATTCCACATACAGTGGTGCCTCGCAAGACAAACGCCTCGCGGGACAAAAAACCCGCAAGACGAATGTTTTTTGCGATCACTGTGGTGCCTTGCAAGATGGCTTCTTTTATGGCTGTGCTTCACAAGACGAATGTTTTCTTGCAAAGCACATGCATTCCTATGGGAAACCGCTTTTCGCAAGATGAAAATTTCGCAAGATAGCGCGAATTATATTTGTTTTGCAAGGCACCACTGTATTCCAGATGCCTGTAGCAGTATTTGACTTCCCTATTCACTTTAAATTGACTCGGACATGAATCAAGATATTTTCCCCCAAACTGGAAAACTGCTTATTATTAATGAGCCAATCCATCCCCCCTCGATCAGCCATTTAATCAATATAAAGCAGATAACAGATTTCAAATTAATTAAGTGGCTGTTTTGCAGGCTCATAATAAAACTTGGCAAAATATGTTGTACATGGTTTGCAGAATTTTATGCTTGTTCTTTGCCCTGTTGTTTTCTGGATCACAGGCTCCATACGCAATGAATGACTGATGTTCACACTCTGAACATACTGGGTGCATGTTTGGGATGTGTTCAGTCAGTTATGTAGTCTGCAAAGATTATGCATGAATAAAAAGGTATTAATAGGTATTAAAAGTCACTTCTATAGCCCTTTCCAGAAATAATACTGTTCTACATGTGGCATATTCTGTGTTCTGAGACGTATGTCCAGGCTAACTAGTTTTAATGCTGTTATTTGTTGCTGTTCCAGAATTTAGCCTATGAAATAATTCTCACATTGGGACAGGCATTTGAGGTAGCCTACCAGTTAGCACTTCAAGCACGAAAAGGAGGCCATTCTTCAACTCTTCCTGAAAGCTTTGATAATAAACCTACAAAACCAATTCCCAAACCACGTGTTAGCATTCGAAAATCTGTGGTGAGTAAGGAATGTGCAATATATAATTCACAGACAAAGTTTCTTGCTGCTTAGTCTTCATCTTGATGCAAATTTATGATTAAGAGAGGTATTTACTTGACATATGTTGCACTGGCTCTAATCCAAAGGGTGAGATTTCTGGAAATTCAATATATTGCCTACTATTGGACACATTTTACAACTTGCAAATTCATGTATTTAAGACATTCTTGAAGGCTAGCCTAACGGTGCTAAAGTTGCTTATTTTCCCCACTGCGATTTGTATAAGAAGCACTTCTAAGTCTGTAGATGCAATTTAGTAGTTCTTTATTTATTTTTATTTATTTAAAATATTTCTATCCTGCCTTTTTCCTTAAAAAGGACTCAAAGCAGTATTAGGTGAAGACTCCATCGATCCATCCTATATGAATTAGAGGAACAGAGGAAGCAGTTTTACACAGAGTCATACTGAGACTAGCCCAATATTGTCAATTCTGACTTGCAATGGCTCTGTGTTTTCCGACAGTATTCTGTTCTAGCCCTATCTGGAGATTCCTAGTATTCCCTGATAGTCTCCCATCCAAGTACTAATCAGATCCAACCCCACTTAGCTTCTAAAATCAGATGAGATTGGAGGTATGTTCAGGTTGGATGGTAGTCTTCACCGTGAGAGGACAACTTAACACTTTAAAACCATGTTTGAAATTACCAAATCATAAGCTATAATAAATTAATTAAGTATATGGTTAAATTAATAAATATTGAGATAATAAAATTCAACAAATGAATAGACCACAGATAAAACACCACCTTTGGTAACCACTGAAAGACAGAAAGGGGGCCACCAATGCTTCATGGGACATAGCACCACCTCTGAGAAAACTGTCTCTTTCTGTTACTAACCATCCTCTATAGCAGTGGTCCCCAACCTTGGGCCTCCAGCTGTTCTTGGACTTCAACTCCCAGAAATCTTGGCCAGCAGAGGTGGTGGTGAAGGCTTCTGGGAGTTGTAGGCCACGAACATCTGGAGGCCCAAGGTTGGGGGCCACTGCTCTATAGGATGCAAGGCAAAGTGTTTCATCCTGATGTAAGTAGTAGACAGGTTGGCATCAGAAGAGACTATTGTCTCCCACCCATGGACAGTATATTGTAGTACAGAAAGAGAATGCTAGTTTGTCTGGTGGAGCTAACTCTATCCATTTAAAACCTCCATGCTTGTCGGGTATAAAGACTGCTGCTGCTCCTGTGGGGCACAGGACAAGGGCAGGAGGAGGGGAATTCTTGCCCTGTGGAAAACTGAAATTGCCTTATTCATGAAGAGAAGGATCTGATCTCAGGGCCATTTTTTTAAATCTATGAAAGCCAAATAAATTGCCTTTCATTGACGGGGCTTCTCACTTGAATGCCTGCTGGTGGGAGCAACAATCACCAGGAATGTATTGTGAGGGGAAGTATTTTAATTGGTGTAGATCCCAGTGTCTCAAAGGGAGATCTGACTATGGTTGTGAGGACCATATTCAGGCTCCACTTAGAGGGCCAGCAAATTGGGTATGATTAGAGCAGCTGCCTTTACTTAACAACCAAAGTGCAAGTTGTGAGGTCAGGAGGCTCTTACTGGTGTCCTCCAACACCAAAACTAGGATTGACATCTGTCTCTTGGAATTAGCCCACTTGAGGCCTCATAACAAGCCCTCCTAGGGAAATTCTAGTACTTCTCTGACTCCCATTCCCAGGGATCCCTTATGGCAGCAATCAAAGGAGAGCTTTCAGTTCTGGCTTTTTAGTAGATGGCATCCTGGAAGCCAGCGTGGCATCAGCCACCTCTGAGGAATAGCCATGCTTTGCTGGCAGTCTATGCTCAGACTCCAAGCAGACAGCTTGAGGAACCTGGATTCTTGTGTTATATTGAGCTCTGGTGGGCAGGGCTGGTCTCATTGGTAGGGCAACAGTTTTCATCGTTGTTGTTTACAGGGCTATGAGAATGGAAAACTAAGAGCATCTTGGCTACTCTGAAGTTATCAGGATGATACATTTTTTCTGTTATTTTTGACTGTCTTGTGAAGGAAAAGTAGACAAGGAAAAGTGTAGAGTTGGCTTTTGGGCCAACTTGCTGACATGGAGTCAGTGAACATGGTTCCCATGTCTAATATAAGACAAATCTGGGCAGCTGAGCATTCCTACCGATGATAAAGAGACCCAGAATGGCCTTTCTCATCTATGTTGCCATCTCCCTTATGACCTCTGAGGCAGCAGTCATTCTCTGGGGACCAGGCTTTGGCAGCTTAGGCATTCCTTCTGTACACTGAAGGTCCTTTTGAGGTGTTGTGCCTTGAAGGAAGCTATGTTGTCTTAGGACTGGCTGAATAATTAATGGCTTCTCTCATCAAAGGTCTAATCTGTTGAAGTTTCCAGGTCAGTTGTGTCTGCAAGTTAGCTTCTCTGATAAGAGGCTCTGATCTGTCTTGGGGCACGAACATGGTCCTGAGGGTTTGGTTTGTGTTTTGCAGTTTTCTGGATGGCTAAACACCTGGATCATCTAGCTATTTTTGCACCGATATTGGCAAACATTTACTCCAAAATTCCTGTCAGGGGAACAATAGTATGTCTTAATTACGAAATTCCTTTTGGTGCCTGGTACTGTCAATCAGTGAACCTGTGGAGGAATCTACCCCTTTTGAATTTTTTCATCTGTTTGATAGTATAAAATATTTATAAACCATATATATTATGGGAATAGATTATTTTTGTTAGTCATACCACTTTTCTGTCTACCAGAAAATTATGAGCATCTTGTGTAGCAAATTAATCACAACAAGTCTCTGAGGGTTCTTCCTCACTACTCTGCGCTGTAGACGATCATAGCTCCTTACACAACATTGCCACATAAAATTGTGTTAATACAATGGAGGCAACAAAGAGCAGCTCCTGAGCTGTGCTCATGGTAGCAGTGTAGGCTCTAAAATGCATCCTAACCCATGTTTGACTGACTGCATCTCTGGCCTTTTACAGTCACTCTTGTTGCCTGCATTAACAACTTCATACACAAACCAAGAACCAAAGGCACTTTAACTGTTGCCCTTCAGCTTACATAACAACATCACTTGTTCCAAGCAACTCACAGATCTTATATACCATTTCCCCAGCCATTCAGTTTTCTTTTCAGACCTTCAGGAAAGTCTGAAAAGTGTTACTAAGTGGACATGACTGAATGTATTTAGAAGTTTAGCGACTGGAAACCAAAGTTCAAATTCCAGCTCTCTGTGGGTTTGCAAGGATCCTCGGCTGATCCAGAGTTTTGCTTTTTCCACCACCTAAAGTCTAGTATACTGCCCAGGTATTCTTCTGTTTCCTAATGTCAGTTACCCTTGTTTTTAATTAATGACTATTCATTTTAGTTTTTATTATTTTTTACAATTCATTTCTTTAGGTCTGTTTTTACTATAGACATTACTGTGATTTTTTTAAAAGAGCACAGCATTAGAAAATGTTCTTAAATAAAATAAACTCTAGCTATTTAAATGGGTTACAGCAATCAAACAGTATGGCAGATGCCATTACCACTTGATGCTTTGAACAAATGCAAATGCTGACTTCCAAGCATGTACCAAAACCAAATGAGGAAATATATATGCAAATAGGTTTTGTATATGTACTTCCTTTTCCAACCTGCTGGGGGTGCAGATGCTTAGCCCACTTAGGAGAAAATGGTAAAAATTTTATTGGCTGAACCTTGACCTTTATTACTGAGCAGCTGATGTCTGCTGTTGTTAATTGTTTGATGAAACTACATACATCCATATTTGGATAAGCTATACAGGCAAGAGAAATTGACATGATCTTGCAATCTGTTCTTCCAATTAATATCTTAAAAATATGACATCCTTGTGCTATTGAGCATGCTGTGGTGTTGGTAACATTTACTGTTATATGAGTGTAACTTCAGATTTCATTTAATACAGACAAATCTTTTATTCCTTCATCCCAGTTCTAGAAGGGGACTAAAAATAATGAATCAATGTCTCCATGGATTATCATAGTAAAATAGAATATAGGTTATAGCCCCAGGAAAGCAATAAATGTAACATGCTGTGTGGATAATGCTGGCAGTGTGACCTAGTTAGAGCAAAGTTTTAATGTTCAGTAATTACATGAGATAAAACACATCTGTGTTTCTTTTGATTTGTTTCAAAGCAGATAGATCCCACTGAACAAAAGACTCTTGCCAACCTACCATGGATTGTAGAACCAGGACAAGAAGCTAAAAGAGGAATTAATACCAAGTATGAAACCACAATTTTCTGATAGTGAATTGTCCTCTATTTCTTGTTGTGCCTTGCACTCAAAGCAGTCATAGCACAGCCTTTCCTTGACGGCAACTCTTCAGTCTAGTAGAGGGGAAGACTGCACTATATGAGTGGCCTTGAAATTAGCAAAAACATAACAATGAGGAAAAAAAGGCTGCTGGTCATTTCTGGTGATTGTTCCTCCTTGCCGCATTGACAGAAGAATGACATGGGATGAAGACTTTCCAATTACAGCCCACAAGAGGAGTGGGAGATTGTTTTCACGCACGCACTTCTCTTTGGACTTTGCCACAGTGCTTTCTTTGATTTCATATTCTAACATTCTAATTTTACAAAGGTGTCTACCATTAATGCTGCTTAGTAATACAACATTCTGTTGTGTGTTGTTTTTTAATTTAAAACATGGCAGTTTTTACAATTTGAAACAAACCCAGATTATTTAATATGCTAGTTCAGAACTTTTACAAAGTCATGGGAGTCATATATAAATTAATCCTACTGTTCTAATATATTTTAAAACATTCAAAATGTATTAGCATCCCTGATATGTTATCTGCTGGTTTTATATAATCTTCATACCATTTAATCCTGTAGAGGAATGAGGTTCTGTATAGCTGTGTGTCAAAGAATCAAGAGTTTTATGAATGGTTTACAAAAGAGAAAATAATAATAATGCATGAAAATGCACCTTGCATTAATTATTTTTGTGGGATAGAGGAAAACTATAAGTATGAATATTTATGATAAAGAAAGTCATTAACTATTAATAGAGTTTGGGTTTATTTTAAAATAAAATAAACTGCTGCTGTACTATTTGCAACAGAAGTAAGAAGAGGTAGCATCAGTATACTAGATGGATGATTCACAGAAGCTGCCCAGTGATTGCACTACTGGTACACGCAACTGTACAATTTTTTTCAAGATGATAGCCATGAGTTTCAGTTTTTAAAAATCTGAAAGATGGTTTTAATCACAAACAAGAATTTTATCAAATTTTATGTCTGAGAAAGTTGGTTTTAATGAAAAAAAATTCAATTCAAAATGTTTTTCCTAAATAAAAGTTACAAATTCCAAAGTAATAAATTATTTCCATAAATCCTGTTGAACATTAGCTTGACATTTGAATTAATAAAATGTCCTTACTTTTCCTTTGAAGTATTTTAATTTTTTAATGTCTTTGTGGAATATTTGTATAATAACATTCTGTATATTTCAGTGGAACTGAATGAATTATGAAGTAAAACTATCACTCATAGGCGAAAAATGGCATTTAATGTATATTCTATCAAGTCAAATTGTGAGTCATTTTGAACATCATTATAGAGATATTGATGAGTAGTGTGGTTGACTTAATGTTTTTTATTATTCTTTCATATTTAACTGAAAGGATTCAGTTACTCTTAACTGAATTTTTAACAAAATTGATAATGGAACTTGATTTAAAATTGAAAATTGTATATGGTTTAGTTGAACCTAATCATAGCGCTGAATGACAAAAAAAACCCTTTTAATACAGTATTCAATTTACTTGAAACAATCAGCTCCTTGTATATATTTTGCCTATTCATTGTTCATATGTATGTAAGTAGGCTGACAGTGAACACTGACAAATATAGTACCAAAAGGAACACTGTATAGGAGAAAAGTAAATAGTAGCCTCACTGCAACAAATACTTCTATGTAAATATGCTTGGGCTTCCAGTAATAAATTTTGTAATTTTTGTCATTATTTATATCCTATGAAAGCACACAAAATAAATTGGAAGTTGTACAGTTAAGTATTGGCTTCTGTTGAAACTTGGCTGCTCTGAAGTGATGACTAATGCAATTCAATGGAAAGCGTAATGGTCTGATAGTGTGAATCATTTCATTGAATCAATATCTTGTCAGGTTTCACTTACACCTATATTAAAACAATGAAGTTTTGTGGTTTCTGAATATCTAACTAATATTTATTTGGCACAAGCTATAGTGAACTGCAGTCCACTGTATAAAATGCACTACAAGATGATTGTCAGAATTTAGCAGTAGTTCACAAAGGCCTGCACCAAATAAAACTTGCCAATGTTTAAGGCTCCTCCTTGTTTTGGCTGCAACAACCTAACACAGCTGCCTAAAAATAATGCAATTAATGTTGGTCAAATGCAACAAAGGACACCAAAATAATCCTGGAATTTGGGGGATGCATACTATCTCACAACACGCAATTTCTAATCTAGCTCAATGTTGTTTACAAAATGACAAACAGCTGCCTGTTTTTTGAGGTTTAATCTAAAATTCAGCATCTTGAAAGAGCAAAGGAAAGCTGTAAATATTAACTGGGGGAGAATATGCTCCCATTGTTAAACATACTTAAGACTTCATTTCAGTAGGTTTTGAAGCCAAAGACTTTGAGTGAAAAAGATGGGCTTTGAAGAATTGTTTGGCGTAAGAGGAGGACTGTTTACACAGATATAATTGGAGAGGCAGTTCCTGGCATCAGAAGTAGCAAAAGTGGAATGTTTTAGAAGGCTGGCCTTGTAACAGCTCCAGGTTGATAACTGAAAGACAAGAAGCGCTCATGGGCTATGATCAACGTACCCTCTAATTTTCAGCCCCACTGGGTGGAGCTCCACCTCTCTTGCAGCTTCGCCCCTACGTGCGCTGGGTTCTGTCATGACTAGAACATAATGCGATTGTTGCATAGAGGAGGAAGAGAACTGCGTGGAGGGAAGCAGAGTTGTGCGTGCTCAGCTTAGCAGGAACCTTAGCTATGATGTATCAGGATTTGAGATGATAAAGCTACAACAAATTTTTGAAATAATATCTGCAGTATCCAAAAGTGGAAAAGAAGTTATTGAACAAGATAAGATTCTGTAGAGATGAGACCAATATTTGCTAGCAGAAGGCTAGAGAAGTTCCACCACTGAAGCAAAGAGAGAAGATAATATTTTTAGTGTTGTAAAAGGAAAGCTGACATGACTCGGTAACTGATTTGTTGTTCTTTAGTTGTGTCCGACTCTTCGTGACCCCATGGACCAGAGTACGCAGGCCCTCCTGTCTTCCACTGCCTCCCGGAGTTGGGTCAAATTCATGTTGGTAGCTTTGATGACGCTGTCCAACCATCTCATCCTCTGTCGTCCCCTTCTCCTCTTGCCTTCACACTTTCCCAACATCAGGGTCTTTTCCAGGGAGTCTTCTCATCAGATGGCCAAAGTAGTGGAGCCTCAGCTTCAGGATCTGTCCTTCTAGTGAGCACTCAGGGTTGATTTCCTTAAGAGTGGATAGGTTTGTTCTCCTTGCAGTCCAGGGGACTCTCAAGAGCCTCCTCCAGCACCACAATTCAAAAGCATCCATTCTTCGGCTGGGGACAATATACAGCTTTGTCGTACTCCTTTCCCAATTTTGAACCAATCAGTTGTTCCATATCCAGTTCTAACTGTTGCTTCCTGTCCCACGTATAGATTTCTCAGGAGATGGATAAGGTGGTCAGGCACTCCCATTTCTTTAAGGACTTGCCATAGTTTGCTGTGGTCCACACAGTCAAAGGCTTGTGTGTAGTCAATGAAGCAGAAGTAGATGTTTTTCTGGAAGTCTCTGGCTTTCTCCATAATGCAGCGCATGTTAGCAATTTGGTCTCTAGTTCCTCTGCCCCTCGAAATCCAGCTTGTACTTCTGGGAGTTTGTTTGTTTGTTTGTTTGTTTATTTAATTTATATGCCGCCCACACTACCCAAAGGTCTCTGGGTGGCTTACAGGATTTAAAATACAATAAAGATATGTAACAATTAAAATACAATTAAAATATATATGAAATTGCCATCGGACCCACAGCTAATATTATTTCAGTTAAAAGCCTTCTGGAACAGGAAGGTTTTGACCTGGCGCCGAAATGTCATCAGTGTCGGCACCAGACGAATCTCAGTCGGGAGGGCATTCCATAGTCTGGGGGCAGCTGCCGAAAAGGCCCTTTGTCTACAAGCTGTCCCTCTTACCTCCTTGAGGGACAGCTCTTTAAAAAGGCCCCCTGGCTAGATCTCGGTCCACATACTGCTGAAGCCTACCTTGGAGGATTTTGAGCATATCCTTGCTAGCGTGTGAAATGAGTGCAATTGTACGGTAGTTGGAGCATTCTTTGGCACTTGTAAACTCAACCCTGTACCTTCCTTTAGCCTAGGGAATTTCTCAAATCCTCCATTTCAGCTTTAGGGATTAAACTATGAGATTCACAAAATCCTCTCTCTTTAAAACCCTGCAAGTTCTTTCCAACATCCTGCAAGAGGTCACTTCCTGTCTGCTGATGCTTCTCTTCCATTGCCTGAATGAGGCTTCCCAGAAAAGAGTTTCCCAGAGAGCTGGGCCAGGCTTTCATCCCTTTCCTTGGCTATCACCATCTCCAGTTTTTTCACCTGGGTCAGCAGATGTTCTTCATTTTCTAGAAACTTAAGTTCCTTTAGCTGTGAAAACCCTAATCAGGAGAGAACTGGGTACAAAGGACACACCAACACAGACAATGGCTGAAATCCTGTTCCATAAATTATGCTGCATAAGGTTGATTACATCATCAGCACTGGCCAAGTCCTTTTCTCTCCATTTCAGTTCTCACTGCATAAAGAAATTAAGTAAATTGTGGATTAACAATATACAGCAAGGTTATTGTTGCAAAATATTTTCCCGCTGAAATGTTCGATAAGGAGGGAGGGCTGTAAAATAGAAGATTCAGAAAACAAGAGTCAGGTAAAAATAGAAGTCATGGCACAAATCACCAACATGGGTCGTAGTCCATGTCTTGGTGGGAGATTGTGACTTCTTGAATGGAGAACAAGGTTTTGTATATTGTTTAGCCATGGAGCTTAGCTTATCATGCGCCAATTGAGTGAGGTTTGTACTGTCTTCATCTTACCTGGGTAGCCTGCAAGGACTGTAGGAATTATATGTGGTTGTAAGGACCTCCCTAGGGTACTCAGTTATGGAGAGCCCAACAACCCACTGTGCCATGATAAATCAACAAGAGAATAATGTATGCCTGGATTAACCACCTTTGGCATAATATATGCTCCATTTCCCCTGGCGACTGTATAGCATAGCTCATTTTCAATCACAGCTCACAACTGGCATGTTTAGCTTCTAACACAGGCTTAAACTGGCATGCTTGTTCCATCTGGAACTTTATTCCAGCCCTAGACTCTAAGCATAGAAGCAATAGACCTTGATCTAACAGATCTTTGTGACTATATGAGTTCCAATCCACTCCTGAGCTTCCTTGTTCTCTTGACCTGAGGGGACAAATCCCATGTAAGGGATGTTTATTCTATTCAGATGAATGGAGAATCTGCTTCTGCTTGAATTAGGCGCTCTTCTGTGTGCTTATTAAGCTCTGCTTCAGGAAAAACATGCTCAGGCTAGAAAGCAAGTTTACAAACTATATATCAGCAAGATGTTGTTATTGTTACATGCTGTCAAATCACATCTGACTTATGGTGACTCTGTGAATGAGTAATCTCCAAAAATACTAGCCACTCAATGAAAAAATAGAATTACTACTAAAAGGAAACAGCGAGCATTCCTTTCTATTATCTACCAAGAAATTATTTACATTTTGATACTACAAGCTCTTGGAAATTTAAAACAAACTGGTCCTCTTTCTGCCAAAATGCAGGGCATAATGGGCTTTGTTTTACTCACAGCAAATACAAACTACAATCTCAGCAGCACCAACAGTTAAATTGATGGAATGCACTACAATAATATTTTATTATTTGCCAACCAATGCATTCCCAAGAACAGTCACATTTCCGATATCAAGTTGTGAAGACATTAAGGAAAAAAGTTAACAACTTTCTTCTTGATCAGACAAACCAATAAGTGTACCACTAGGCACATCCCAGACACACCTGAACATACAATGATATTCCATAGTACTGGTATTGTTCTACTGTGTCAAAAGTATGAAAACAACATTGCTTCAAGTGGGCAGCAATCTATGCAGCATTGCCAGAGATGAAGCTTCCAGCTCTAATACATACACTGAAAAATATGTTTTCATTTTTGGATGCTCAGTGCTGCTGATGTGTTTGTAAGAATAACATGCCCAACATTCACAATGATGCAATTAAACAATTTTGCTTTCTGAAGCAAAAGACAGAGTATGCCTGGTTTATATGCCTGTTTATAAGTCTGATTTCCAGTAGAAGCAAGAGGCCCACAATTTATCAGTATGGAAGTAAGTGCAAAGTAACAGGCAAAATACTTCAGTAATTTGGAAGTCAAGCAAATAGTGATAAAAATCAAAGAGACACTGTGTAATTTATGGATAGCCTCAAGGGCTAAACTTTAAGGGAAATGAAAAAAAAGGTATTTACCTGAGCAGTCTCTATTTTGGTACAACTGTCTCTCTCTTCAGTTCCTTCCAGATGGAGGATCCTTTCCTATCACAGTGCTGACAATACAATTTTCTTCCAACTTCTTTTTTAATATACCTGGATTCCATTTTATGGATGAGGAGGAGAGAAGCTGATCTACCACCAGATGAATGCCTCACACAGCATTGCAAAATAGCTTTTAAAAGTGTTTAGGAGACAGTCAAGTACAGTATTAGAAAGATTAGTGCAGTGGGATGGCAACTTGAATAATTCCCCCCCCCCCGGGAAAAATCTTTCAAAGTGGCACAGTAGAGAAATTTCTGATTTCTCCAGTAAGCAATCACTGGATGCTACATTGCTATATCAACTAGTTTGCCAGCACTGGCAGATATAAAAAAGTTTGCAAATAGACAACAGAGAAAGGGAATTTAGACATCA